TGCCCTGCTAATTTATTTATTTATTTATTTATTTTGTATTTTCAGTAGAGACAGGGTTTCAAGTAACTTAATCTATTAATCTCTTAGTGGTGAAGCAGATAGGTCTCACAGAGTCTCCTTTCTCTAATGCCTCATAAGTAGCAGAGGCAGATTAGAACTAGGGATTCTGGCTCCAACATCCATTTTCTTGACCACTTTACTTCCCACCATGCCTAAGGTCAATCTGCGCTCTCAACTGAGCTACAGTTTGAGGGCGCTTCTACGTATTTCTACATACCTGGCCTGAAAGTATGGGAAGTGGAGAGGGAGAATTCAGCTTAGAAGGTGCGCCAACTTGGAGGATTTACTCCACCTATGTGGAGCTGCATTCCATCCCCTTAGCTCTGGATGCATCCTCTAGCTTAGCCTATAGCCCTCACATCCACTGAAGAGTTCATCTCCATCTGCTTCACCCATTTTTCCCCAGGAACCCTTTCCACTTATCCACAGTCAGAAAAGGGAAAAGCTACCAACCCTTTGGATTACTTTCCTCCTGACAGAGAGTATAAAAACTCGAAATTTGGGTGACACATAGTTATGACTTCTGCCAGATGGGGTGAGAAACCTTACTGTGTTATACACTTCCTCTCAATTCTAGAAGCTTCCATGCCTTTCCTTATTTACTGGTTGAAGTTTGTGGCACTGCATGTGCCACATTCCTTGTTTGATTGCTGAGGTAAAATATTTTACTAATTTGTATGAACTTGGTGGTGGGAGTGGGGATTGCTCATTTATTCAATTAGGCATTAGAGAGACTGTGAGACGTATCTACTTCGCCATCCTGATCCAGATATGCATACAGCGTACCATGCGTTGTTTCTTGAAGATTCCAAGTTAGCTAGATTTTGTAAATCTGAACAGGGAAACTAGATTCCTGCAGGAATGGAAGGAGAAAGAAAGACAAAACTTTGAAGAGTATTTTTAAAATGCACAATGATACAGAGGACATTCTGATCTAAGCAGGGGGGAAAAAAAGAAAAATGCTTTAAGTGTTAAGATGTGCCAGAGATATGAAGCCTTGAATGAAAAATGTCAGACTCCCTGGTTCAGACACAAGGAAGAAATCAGGAACACACTTCAAAGTTTTCTAGGCTGAGCACAGTGGTTCATGCCTATAATCCCAACACTTTAGGAGGCCAAGGGAGATGGATTACTTGAGATCAGGAGTTTGAGACCAGCCTGGCCGACATGATAAAACCCTGAATCTACCAAAATTATAAAAAATTAGCTGGGTGTGGTGGTATGCACCTGTAATCCCAGGTACTCAGGAGGCTGAGGCAGGAGAATCGCTTGAACCCAGGAAGTGAAGGTTGCAGTCAGCAGAGATCATGCCACTGCACTCCAGCCTAGGTGACAGAGCAAGACTCCATCTCTAAATAAATAAATAAGTTTTCTACTTTTTAGCATCATTTTCTCTGATTCTTTTTGAATATTAGGCCTTCATACTGTTAACATAAGATTTCAATAGCTTGCTTTTCCCCATCCCCAAGCATGATCTACACTACCAGGAAATTCCGCTGTAGTGCTCTCAGCCAGATACACTGGGAATGCCTGGTCTCTTTCTGATCCATTAGCCCATGACTGATAGACACTGAGGCAGGCAGAGGACGCAGGAATTGCTGACCACAAAGGAAGCCCTGCCCCTCCACAGGGCTTATACCAAAAGGTGGAAAACTGAGGAGTCCCCTGGAAGGTACAGGTGCCTCATTTGAGTCATCTCACCAACAGAGCTGAGTGCAGCTAGAAGGATTTATAGGAATTTTTCAAAATATAACTTCTTGTGGAACTGGGAGAAAATATTTACGTTAACACATGTCTGATAAATGCAAATTTAAACCACAATGAGATACCATCACACACCTATTATAATGGCTAAAATTTTTAAGTTAATACCAACTGCTGACATGGATGCAAAACAACTGAAATTCTTTAACACTGCTGGTATAATTGCAAAACAGTACATCCACCTTGGAAAATAGTTGGCATTTTCTTTAAAAATTAAACATACGGCCGGGCGTGGTGGCTCACGCCTGTAATCTCAGCACTTTGGGAGGCCGAGGCGGGTGGATCACTAGGTCCAGAGATTGAGACCATCCTGGCCAACATGGTGGAACCCCATCTCTACTAAAAATACAAAAAAATTAGCTGGGCGTGGTGGTGCACACCTGTAGTCCCAGCTACTCGGGAGGCTGAGGCAGGAGAATTGCTTGAACCTGGGAGGCAGAGGTTGCAGTGAGCCAAGGTCGCAACACTGTACTCCAGCCTGGTGCCTGGTGACTGAGTGAAACTCGATCTCAAAAAAAAAAAAAAAATTAAACATACACTTACAATAAGATCCTACAATCCCACTCCTTATACCCAAGAGAAAAAAAAAGTGATGTTCACACAAAAACCTATAAGCAAATGTTGCAGTAGCATTATTCATAATCACCAAAAACTGGAAGTAACTCAAATGCCCTTCAATTGGCAGATAAACAGACTGTGGTACTTAAATCCCATACAACGAAACACTATTCAACACTAAGTAACACACTACTGATAACACACAACATGGATGAACATTAAATGCCTTGTGCTAAATTGAAGCCAGACTCAAAAAGCTACAGACTGTGTGATTTGATTTATATGATATTGTGGAAGTGGCAAAAACACAACGACAATAGATTACTGGTTGGCAGGGAGAATGTTGGTGGGAGGGGTTGACTACAAAGGCATGGCATGAGGGAATTTTGTGGTGATATAACTGTTCTATATCTTGTGATGGTGATTTTAGGTATTTATTAAAGTTCAGAGCTGTACACTGGAAGACATAAATTTTGCTGGAAAAAAATGAAGTTCACAAAAGAAAAATATGTCATGTGGAAGAAACTTTAAAATAACCCACTTGATTGGTAAGAGAAAGCTCAGGAAGGGTAAGTAATTACCACATCACGAGAGGTAATGAGTAGCAGGATGGGAACCAGTGTCTCTCTACCCGTCCAGGATCCTTTCCACTGCAGCAGTATTTCTGATTTTTTTTTTTTTTTACCGTGACTTTCAGTAAGAAATATATTAGTTTTCTATTGCTGCCATAACAACTTAACACAAATTCAGTAGCTTAAACAACACTTATTTACCTGAGGTCTATAGGCCAGAAGTCCAGTATGGCGTAACTATCTCTCTTGCTTGGGGTTACACAAGGCCAAAGCAAATGTCTCAGAACGTGTCAGCTGGCCTGGTTCTTAGGAAGAGGCTTGAGGGGAAAATCCACATCCAACTGGACAGACTACAGGCAGAATTCTGTTCCATGTAGTTGGGGGGCTGAGGTTATTTCCTCGCTGGTGATCATCACTCCCAGCGTCTAAAGCCGCCCACATTTCCTGCCTTATGACTTGTCCATCTTCAAAGCCGGCAGCAGGCCTTGTCCTTTTCATGCCTTCAATCTTTCTGACAGTCTCTTCTGCCCTCAACTGGGGGAAAGCTGTTTTGAAGGGCTAATGTGATTACTCTGGGCCTGCACAAACAATCCAGCATAATCTACTTGAAGGTCAACTGATTCGTAATGAAAATTATACCTGTAAAATCTCTTCTGCCATGTAATGTAACATGTTCATGGGCATAACACCAGCAGGTGAAGGTGATGGGGGCCTCCCTTCTGCCTACCACATACATTTTACACAAAGACCAAATACACACACGTAAATGATACTTAATTTTACTAAATTCAAGTTATTTCAAAATGCTAGTGGCAACACATATTGATTCCACATCCCACTAATGAGCTACAAATTGTAATCTGAGTTTATCTTGAAAATCGAGCAGTATTTAGAAAATAAAATTTTCCTTAGATACCATTAACAATAACATCAAAAGTATTAAGTACTTAGAGAATAACATTTAACAAAATATGTCAATTTGAAAGGATGTCCTTTCAAATTCCCATTTGCAATGGTAATAGGAGGCCTAGAGAAGGGCCTCTGGGTTCTGTAATGCTCAAAATCACATGCAATGTTACAGAACTAATCACAAGCAAAACAAGACAATCCCTGGTTAGGGACATCCTACAGAATACCCAGCCAGCACTACTCAGGCTGTCAAGGTCATGAAAAATGAGGAAAGACTAAGAAACTGCCATAGACCAGTGAAGACTGGGACAACTTTATGTACAATTTATCACAATTTTTTTTTTTTTTTTTTTTTTTTTTTGAGACGGAGTTTCGCTCTTGTTACCCAGGCTGGAGTGCAATGGCGCGATCTCGGCTCACTGCAACGTCCACCTCCTGGGTTCAGGCAATTCTCCTGCCTCAGCCTCCTGAGTAGCTGGGATTACAGGCATGTGCCACCATGCCCAGCTAATTTTTTGTATTTTTAGTAGAGACGGGGTTTCACCATGTTGACCAGGATGGTCTCGATCTCTTGACCTCGTGATCCACCCGCCTCGGCCTCCCAAAGTGCTGGGATTACAGGCTTGAGCCACCGCGCCCGGCCCTAATTTATCACAATTTTTAAAAGTGAGGTACTGGTACATGCTATAGCATGGATAAGACTTAAAAACATTATCAAAGTGAAAAAAGCCAAACACAATAGACCATATTATTACATGATTCCATTCATATGAAAATGTTCTAAAATTGACTGTGGTGATTGGTGTACACATTTGTGAATACACTAAATACCACTAAACTGTACACTTTAAATTGGTGAAATACAGGGTATGTGGATTATATGTCAATAAAACTTAACAAAAAAATTAACTGGCTGAAACTAGGACCATATTTATTTGAACTCCTGAGGGCAAGTGGTGTTCCATGAATTCTGGAACCACTTTCTGGTGATGTGCTGGAAAAATAAGAGAACAAAATTAATGAAAGGACTGCAGGTTAGAATGGCCAGCAGGAAAGATCCGGAAGGTCTGTGACCAGGTATGGTGGCTCTCCAGTCACAGAGCAAGAACAAAGGCGAGATTATAAAGCACACTAGACTAAAGCTGATCAAAAACCTTTATTCTGGTCCTCATCATTCAGTAAGCCACTTATGCGGAACATTTCTTCATCTCTGCTCCAGGCAGCAGCAGCTGCATCCAAGCTTGACATGGAAGACAGAATTAGTGGAAGACCTTGCAGAGAAAAGCTAATTGATGAGATATCTGCTTATCCCAGCATAGGTGACTGGCAGAACAGGAAGAGTGTGTTTAAGTGCAAAGACTCCGTTCTTCAAAGCTGAGGCCTGTAGAGAGGGGTCAACTGAAGGCTGCAGATGAAGGCTCACAAAACTGTCCCACTCAGCAATCAATCCAAAGTACCTAAACATACAAAGAGCAATGAGTACAGCACAAGACCTCAGGAGCTGGGTTAGTGTAATAAACTGGGCAAAGTTAATGCCCAGTCTTTTGACAAAGACAAACCAAAAATACATGACAATAACAGCATATAAATTTGGGGACAAGGAATTTGAAAATTGAGTTACTGGATTCTGAGATCTCAATTTGTTGAGAATGAGAGGAAAGGTACTGACTAGGCTTTGATAAATTAAGGACTTACATAGTAACTGATAAAGTAATCACTTAAAGAATAGAAATATTTAACTTCCAAGCTGATAAAAAATCAAATAATAATCTAAAAGAAGGCCAAAATTGAAAGGAAATAATATATTATATAAAACAAGAATAGTAGAAAGCAGGACAAAATAAGACAATAGATTCAAACTCATAGATACGACCAATTACATTAAACATAAATGAACTACGTGCTCCAGTTAAAGACTGTCTGATTTTGGAAAATAATCCAGTTAAATCCTGTTCACAAATACATGGAAAGATAAAAATTAAAAACTTACAAAAACACATACCATGCAAATACTAACTAAAGAAAGCTGATAAGCTTTAATATCATTAAACAAAATAGACTTTAGGCCACAAAGCACAATTAGAAATAAAAATAGCCAATTTACAAATATAAAAGGCTCAATCACCAATAATATGTAACAATATTAAATTTGTATATATCGCATGGTTTAATAACATATGATGATAGACTCAGAAATGTAAGAAGATATAGTCTATAATCATAGCAGATTTTTAACACACAACTCTTTGAAATTGGTAAAATATGCAGACAGAAGAAATTCAGTAAGAACACAGAAAATCTAAACTATACAATAATCAAATTTGGCATTGCAACTCCTCTAACAGCATCACTGAATTCCACCAAATAGTCCTAAAACAAAATAATTCCAATCTTACAAAAAGTTTTCCAGATAATAGATAAGATAAAAAGTGGGCAAGGTGCAGTAGCTCACTCCTGTAATCTCAACACTTTGGAGGCCGAGGCAGATGGATCACCAGAGGTCATGAGTTTAAGACCAGTGTGGCCAACATGGCAAAACCACATCTCTACTAAAAATACAAAAATTAGCTGGGTATGGTGGTGTGAGCCTGTAACTGCAGCTACTCAGGAGGCTGAGGCAGGAGAATCACTTGAACCCAAGAGACAGAGGTTGCAATGAGCTGAAATTGTGCCACTGCACTCCAGCCTAGGGAACAGAGTGAGACTCAGTCTCAAAAAAAAAAGAAGATAAAAAGCATGTAATTGTCAATGAATTGTATGAAGCTTACGGTATGAAAAAAATACTAATCACTCTTATAAACAGGAATGCAACATGCATAATCTGTTTTAAAAATCTACATAAAATCTACAGTGAGCATAATTACTAAGGAAATACTGAAAGCTTTTCCTTGGAAGTCAAAAATGCCTGTTCTTACCATTTCCATGCAACACTGTACTAGAGATTCTAGCCAGTTCAGTAGGGCCAGAAAAAAACAAATATAAAGATAAGGATTGGAAAGAATTTCACAAAATTATTATTATTGGCAGATGATATACTATTATGTAATTAATGAAACTCAAAAATGAACAAATATGTCATTAAAATTAGTAAGAACTGAATCAAAACAAAATTTTTAAGTAAAAAAACTACAAATAGGAGCTAAGCAAGATGCTAAGTACAAAATTAACATAAAAAATGTATTATATTTATAAATACAGCAATATTTAGAAAATAAAATTTTCCCTTGAAAGATACCATTAACAATAGCATCAAAAATAGTAGTTAGAGAACAACATTTAACAAAATATGTCAAGATTTCTTCAGGTAAAATATTTTATTAAAAACTAAATATTAATAAATGGAAAAGCAGACTATATGAACTGAAAGCTTCACTATTTTAAAGATATCATTTCTCCCCCAAAGTAATTTATAAATTCAATACAATCTCAATTAATATCCCTTTTTGTGGAATTTGACAGATTCTAAAATGTACATGAAAACGCAAAGATTCAAAAATAGCAAAGATACTTAGAAAAAACCAGGTGGGAAGATTTCCTCTCAGATAAAGCTACCATAACTGAGACAGTATAAACTGATGTGAGAATACCCATCAATGCAAAAGAGATACAAATAGATCAATGGAATAGAACAAAAAGGCCAGAAGCAGTCTTAACTGCTAAGAAAGACAGCACTGCAAAGCAGTGGGATGTTATGGACAAGTGGATATCTAATTATGAAGAAACAGATGAGACTGGACCCCCAACCCAATACACAGAAATTCAACGCCATTGTTATGAAAGACAAAATTACACAGATTTTAGCATATAAGAAAATGTCTTCATGACCACAGAGTGGGGAAAATTTTCTAAAATGAATACAAATAGCACTAGTTATAAAGAAAAAAATTGATACATTTGACTACCTTTATCTTTTAATGCTTATCAAAAGACAACCTTTTTAAGGTATAAAACAGCAGGAAAAGATACTTCTCATATACTAAAAAAGATTAATATCTAAAATATACCAAGCACGGCTAAGCACAGTGGCTCACGCCTGTAATCCCAGCACTTTGGGAGGTAAGAGGCAGATGGATCACTTGAGATCAGGAGTTCAAGACCAGCCTGGCCAACAACACAGTGAAACCCCATCTCTCCCAAAAATGCAAAAATTAGCCAGCCGTGGTGGTGCATGCCTGCAGTCCCAGCTATTTGAGAATCTTTTGAACCAGGGGAGAGGGAGCTACAGGGAGCAGAGATCAAGCCACTGCACTCCAGCCTGGGTGACAAAGCAAGACTCCATCTCAAAAAAAAAAAAAAATTAAAAATTAAAATGAAATAAAACATAGCAAGCATTGTTATAAATCAGTAAGAAAAAAATGAAAATACCTAACAGAAAAATAGGAGACACCCCTCAAAAAAATTGGACATGATTATGAAAAGATGCTCAATGTCACCCATAATCAGGGCAATATGAATTAACACCACAATGCAACTATCACTTACATTCAATACCAGCTTGTCAACAATCAAACTCTGGCAATACCAAGTACAGGTAAGAATGAGGAGCAATGGGAATTATCATGCACTGCTGGTAGGAATGTGAACTGGAATACAGGAAGTTCAGCAGTACTTGCCAAAGATGGAGATTTGAACACCCTATATATCCTAGGTCCCAGCAGTATTATATATTTTATACATACATATACATTCACCCTAGGAAACATGTACAAGACTGTTCATGGCAAATTGTTTGTAATAGGGAAAAAAAAGGTTTCCCAAATATCCACATTAAAACAGTTCAACTGTGGTACTGTCATGCAGCAAGGAACATGAACAAATGAGTTATGTGCAATCGTACAGATGAATCTCATAAATGTGACAGATGCTGACCAGCGAATGCTTATGGTTTGGTTCCATTTTCAGAGAGCTCAAAAAAACAAAACTAAACCTTAGTGTTCAGGGATGCATGCTTATATAGTAAACTATAAAGAAAAGGAAGGAAGTAATTACCAAAAAAGGATACAGTAATGTCGGAAAGGGGAGAAGAGGTATGATGAAGAATGAATACATGTGGGACTTCTGGGGGCTGACAATAGCCTATCTCTTGGCCTACATGGTGGTTACAAGGGTGTTCATTTTATCATTTATTGATTTTACATTTACAGCATACACTTTACATGTGTTGTATTTCATAAGACTTAGAAAAAGAATATACACATAAACATATTTGTATAAAATATCCAGATTACACAAGAAAACTAGTAACCATTGTTTGCAGGGAAGGGACCTGAATGTGGAATTAAGGGACAGAGAGAGGGTAGAGAAAGACTGTTCGGTCTTCGTTTTCAACTTCTACAATCAACCAGAGATAAAGCATGGAAGATTTAATTGTGATAAGATATAAATGTTATTAGCTTTCACAACGTCAAAGTACCAGTATAGACAACACAAACTGAGAGCTACATGTGAGCTAAAAAGGGAAAAGGGATACGTTCACTAACAGTCATACTTTACAGACTGGGGAGTCAAGAAATACATTAAAAATCGGACACAATCACCACCAAAGACATTCTAGTATATTATACAAACTGCAAAGGTAAAGAAACTAAAACTATTGATACAATTACAAAAAATCAGAAGGTCAGGAGGGGATTTATGGGGTTCTACAGGTTAGCTAAATTTTCATTTATCACAGCAGGAAGTCAACACATACCATCCACCACAACTGACAAATCAATGGGTAAGCATATTAGTTAGAAATAAACGTAACCACCAGAAAAGCTCAAAACACGAACAGCGGGTGGACAAGCCATTAGGTAACTAATTGATTTTTAAACATGAATCTATATTGCTTATAAAAAAGAAAAAAGTTTTTACTTATACCATACACATCTAAGGACGTAAGAACATTTATTTTACCAAGTACAGCACAATATAACGCAGACTGAACCCACAGGTGCTATGATGGCTAACATTCACATCTACCAATGTAGGAGAGAGCAGAGGGATTCAATTGCAGAGATAAATGAGGATGAAAGCAGAGGATGAAAATGAACACAGCAACTATTCAATAAATGGCCATTTATTAAAAATGCAAGCCAAGCACTATGCTGTGACAGAGGCTAGAAAGGAAAACTACGTAAGACCTCCCCACTTCTATTCCTAGTCCCTCCAGTTTATTATCCCCTGAGCAGCAATGCTATGTACTTGAAATACAAATCTGATCATATCACTCATGTCTTTGAAAAGCCAGTCATTAAACATGAAGAGGTAAAGTAGGCCCCAAACATTTTTGACTGGAGAACTTCCAGAAAGTCTGTCACAAGGAGTGCCTGCCTTAGGTGAGCAACTAACAAAAGTTAATTTTAAGAAAAATGAGTAGGTGGAAAGAGAGGCTGAAGAAAAATCTACAAATTAAAAGAATGCTCAATAGTCTAGGCATGAAGCTGGCCATGGCAATGTATCTAATAAGGCGTTTAGAAAATATCTATTAAAAGGACCAGGGGCCTAAGTTGACATGGAGATGCAGAACAAAGGAGTAAAAAACAGTGGAAAAAATCAAGAGACGTATGAAAGTAATACGGCTTGGAGGAGGTAATGAGAACACCCTGGGAGAATGAATTGAGGGTACATGGCTTTTGCTAAGCTATTCCAAAATACAGTCACGTGTTGCTTAACAACAAGGATACATTCTGAGAAAGATGCATCACATCTTTAGGCAATTCCACCACTGTGTGAACACCATACACAAACCTAAACAGTATAGCCCACTACACACCTAGGCTACGGGGTATACTTACTGCTCTCAGGCTACAAACCTGAACAGCATGTCACTGTACTGAATACTGTAGGCAACTGTAACACGATGGTAAGTGTATTTAAACGTATCTAAACATAGAAAAGGTAATGTATTTAATTAGGATGTTATGACTCACTGGGAAACAGGAATTTTTCAGCTGCATTATAACCTGATGGGATCACCCTCGTGTGCAGTCCACAGCTGATCAAAAAGTTACAGGCAGCACTTGACTATATATGTGTAGTGAAGAGTAAGCTGATCTAAGAATTAAGCAGCAGAAATAGCTCTAAGGCAAGGTAGCTAAAATGAGATATTTCAAACATTTGCTATTTTAATGACAAAACTGGCCAGGCATGGTAGCTCACGCCTGTAATCCTAGCACTTTGGGAGGCTGGGGAGGTGGGGGGGATCACAAGGTCAGGAGTTCAAGACCAGCCTGGCCAAGATGGTGAAACCCCATCTCTACTAAAAATACAAAAATTAGCAGGGCGTGGTGGCAGGTGCCTGTAATCCCAGCTACTCAGGAGGCTAAGGCAGGGAATTGCTTGAACCTGGAAGACGGAGGTTGTAGTGAGCTGAGATTGTGCCACTGCATTCCAGACTGACTGACAGAGCAAGACTCTGTCTCAAAAAAAAAAAAAAAGATGAAATTTAGTTAGTACACAAGTTAACCCATGACTCCTAATAACAAATAAATACAGACAAGTACAAGTCTTACTGCAGCAAAATAATCACTTCACACAGATTGTTGAAGAAAAAGGAACAGGCAGTGACCCTTTAAATCATGACATTTGTTTCTGATCTCTAACATGATAAGGGGGGCAAGCTTGATAGCTAGGGATGGCGACTAAAGTAGGAATCAAATTTTTGAATTCATCTAACTCCACTGGGATCTTTATATTCCCTCCTGTTTCTTTATGGTTAGCAATTTTCAGGTAGAAGTTTTAATTCCCCAAGGGAGAAAACTCAACCTCATTAAGTTTAGCAAGTTACTTTTTTCTATCCTAATAGCAAGTATGGAGAAAGAATTATCCCTACAAAAACAAGAACCAGGCATCCGTTTTGTGAGGTTTTCAATTTCACATCAACATGCAAAAGACAGGTAGAAATGACTGCCCACTGAGAGAGAACTCACCTTCCAAAAAAGCAAATTCATCCACAGCTTCTATTGCATTATCTGAAACATAAGGTAAAGGAATACCTGACTAATTGCAGCCATGCTGACGTCAGTCCCAAAACAGCACAATCTGCAGTGAAAGCGCATAAGGCTTTGGGCAAACGAGCACATTTATAAGATGCGTCCCTTGTTGCCTTGATATCTATATCTACGCTACCAGCAACTTATATATATTAGCTGTCTCTCTAGAAGATTAAGAAAAGCATAGGCAAATCCATTCAATGCAGGGGGCTGGGAGGTTCCTAAATTAAACCTATATTGTTTATTCACTTTGCTCTGAAAGTCATCAGAGAAGAATGTGGCAATACATGCAGGGAGCCTGAGAATACGGTCTACAAAAGCTTACACAAGTGAGAGTTACCAGCCAGACGAGAGTCAGAAATCGAATCTCCAGTTGCAAGTGAAAAAGAAATCTCTTTTTCAGGTGCAATTTGGCAGAAAGTATGAAGGGATCCAGTCAGCTTTGGCAACCCCAGACGCCTTCACACTCTGGCCCCACCACCCCAAGCAGACAGACTCTACAAGCAGGGTTTCCTGGCATTGTGGCCAACAGAAACCATCACGGGGAGAGACGCTGTGGCACCTCTCAGATCAGAGTGATGTCTTCTCAATCTGCGCCAAGGGGAAACCAGCCCCGCTCTCCCTTGTCTGTCCCCAGACACGCAGTGTCACTCTACCCAAGTCTCTCCTCTGAAGGGTTTTCCTTTTTCCCTGCTGAGCGCAGCAGTAGGCATCTTTTGCAATGGTCTCCACAAATAGCTCCTGTATAGTAAAAAAGCAGAGTTTTAATAAAGGGTTCTAGCACACTGAGGAGGTGAGAGCTCCAGTTTGTGAGTTGGGGCAGAAAGGAAGAAGAATGGCTCTGGGACAAGAAAATGTTCTGGAAGTTAAGATTGTCCTGGACTTCATGAAGGTGGATTCCACTACCCTCTTCCCAGTATTCTCCCTCATTCACTGGAGACTCCCACAAGTTCTGTATGAGGCCCTGAAGATACAAATTAAAGTCACTCAATATCTGGGTCCTCAACATGAGGGAGGAAGGTTAACAAAACATACAACTCGCAGAGGCTCCCGACTTCTTCCCTCCGCCTTCCGGGTCCACGCCCACATCTCAAAACGTTGCCCACGCCGCCCTAAGCCCCGCCCCCGGAAAAAACCCTAAGGCCCCGCCCGCGCTCCCCTCCCCCGCCCCAGCCCCCCAACCCCCGGGTGCCCTCCCGCTGCAGCCGCACCGCTGCTCGCGCCAGAATGAAGATGGCTTCCTGTCCCGCTAGCGTCACGTCGGGGTCCGCCTTCACCAAGGCCTTTACTCGCGCCAGAGGCAGCCTCGAGAGACGTGCCCCAGGCGCACTCGTTGGGGCTGGGGGCTGCGAGGCCGCTGTCTCCCCAGCGGGTCCGTCGTCCTCTCGGGAAGTCCCGCTTCCTGAAGCCGCCGCCGCCGCCGCCATCCCGGCCCTGAGCGTGCTGCGCGCGGCCGCCGACTGTGCGCGCGCATGCGGCGCAGGCCCTTTCCCGCGCCGGCTGGAGGCCACACCCTGTGTGGCGCGCGGCTCCGCCCCTATGCGCAGGGCCCTCCCGGGAATCCCGGTGGGCGGGGACCGGGCTCTAGCTCTTCCCGCGCCTGGTCACCCCTGGCCTGTTGTGGACTTGGCTGACGCTACCGGCCACCCTCTGGTCCCAATAGGCCTGTGGAGCCCAGCCACCGGGGGAGAAGTCTGGACCGGGCTCTCAAGAGAGCCTCGGTCAACACAAGAGTGTTCATCCTCGTGGGCACGTGTCCGAGGGAGGCAGGGACATTCCCGGGAGGGCCCAGCACTGGGGAAGAGGGTGCCAAGAAGGCAGCAAAATCTTTTTATGAAGTCCCATATTTCTTGGAGGCTTTGTTCATTCTTTTTTATCTATTCTTGTCTGCATGCCTTATTTCTGCAAAGTGGTCTTCAAACTCTGATATTCTTTCTTCTGCTTGCTCAATTCAGCTGTTGCTATACTTGTGTATGCTTTATGAAGTTCTTGTGCTATGTTTTTCAGCTCCATCAGATTGTCTATGTTCCTCTCTAAACTGGTTATTCTAGTTAGCAATTCTCTAACCTTTTATCAAGTTTCTTAGTTTCTTTGCACATGCTCCTTTATCTCAGCATAGTTTTTTATTACCAATCTTCTGAAGCCGACTTCTGTCAATTCATCTAGCTGATCCTCTGTCCAGTTCTGTGAAGGGAAGGGTCTGAGGAGGAAATCCCCAGACAGATACAATGGTTCCAGTCCACTAGACCTTCCTCCCACAGCCCTGGGGACTCCCTCCTCAGACCCCTCCCTTCATCTCTGTGCCCCACCACCTGCCCAGGTCAACCAAAATGAGGACACTACAGGAAGTACTGATGGTTCAGATAGCTCCTTGGTAGATGTAGACATTATTTTTCTATGTTTGAGGAGCTACTGAATAACGAAGTCAAGGGTTTTTGTGAAAGAAAATTCAACTTTGAGAAAAATGGATGAAGTAGTTGGTGGCTGAAAAGGCCACTTCAGGGAAAAGATTTCCTCTTTACTTGGCCATGGGATCTCTACATAGTCTTCTCATTGTGGCTTCACTTTGCTGTCCCCTTACATGGTCATGGTCAAAGCCATATAAAACCTTATGTGGAAATAAATGAAGTTGTTATTAAAAGTGGCTTAATGAAAATAAAATTGTACCATTATCATGACAATAAGATAAAACAGGAGAAAAGAGATTAAGAAGCATGAACACCAAAAACAAATAATATAAAATATGAAAGATTAAAAACCAGAAGTTTAAAAGACAAAATAGGCAAAGAATAATACTAAATAAATTTACTAGAAAGACAATAAAAGAATCATGCACTAAACAGAAGGCAAAATTAAGTGTCAAAAATAGTGTGCAAAGGTTAACATCCTCCAGTAGGGCAAACTGGTGAGTCCTTTGAGCTGAGTGCACTGCAAGTTTCCCACTTGGCTGACTTGCCAGGGCCAAGCATTATTGCTGAAGGGGGAGGGTTTGTTCTCAGGGGAGGTCTCCTCAAGTCAGCAAACTTCAGCACAGCGAAGGTGGGGCAATGAAGATCTCACCATTCAGCTCAAGCCTCCAGGCACTTTGAGGTAGCTTTCATTCCATAATTAGGATGCTTTGCCGTTAGACATTAAATTGCTCTAGTTGAATTTCCAACCTAGCTCCTATGCAAAACCATGGCCAAATTGGATGGCTTCTCCACAATCAGAAAGTATGCCTTCCAGTATCTATTAATTGTATATTTTAGCCTGAGAGGCCATGCTGCATAGAAACAGGGTCTTGACGACATCTTGATTGCCTCTGCAGCCCACCCTACTCCAGGCTGGTTCACATTCGACTGGCGACTGCTTAGATTTCAGGCCTCTGGTCAGAATACATGCTTCTGTTGGTTTACTCTAGTAATAGAAACAAATATTTGCTTCTATTTGGCACTTAATATATGCCGAAGTCCTGGTGGTCAGTGCCCACCTGCCCCAGTCTAGGGAGAACTGGCAGAGCTAAAGCCCACAGAAGTGACTGTCCCTGGTCAGAAGCAGTGAAAGGAGCTTTCACCTCTTTGGCTCTATTTTTACATTTTCAAGGTACTGTGTTCTCAAGACTATTAAGACAGTGCTGAAAAGGCTATAAAAAATACAAATTTAGCATTCCATGGAGGTAGAAATGGAAGGGTGACTTGTTTTGTCTTATCCATTTTCTCACCCTAATAATAAAGACTCCATCTCTGTAGCCACTTCTGAACTCTGGACACATACTCTGTGTGTGTGTGTGTGTGTGTGTGTGTGTGTGCGTGTGTGTGCGCGCGCACGCGCGCACGTGCACATAGGGAAATCATGAAGGAAGGAAGATGTGCAGAGGTACCAGGCTATTAACATTTCCTATTACCTTCTGGGGGATGGGAGGAAAGAGGGTTGTGAGAGGCTGAGATTATTAAGTTTTTCTCTACAGATCTTGGCATTATCTCTCTGGTTATGAGAATATGCATTGCTCTTGTAATTAAAAAAAAATAAATTTGAAAAGGAAAGGAAAATTTTCCCATCAGAATAAGACTGCAACAAATGAAAAAACACATTTATACTTTACATCAAATTCTAGGATATTTAACCTCAATAGACACTAAAGATTTTCCTAATCCAGCTCTACATCCCTGATTTGAAGTGAGAATGCAGAAACCTATGGAGTGAAGTAATTGCCCAATTTCCCAAGACAGAATTATCTCCCAGGTTCTCAAATTTTACTTTTTAGTAAATTGTTACTCAATTTTTATTCTTACCACTTATATTTATAAACCACTTATTATAGTACATTATATTCTTTTTTCTAACCTTTTAGTATGAAAAATTTCAAACAGACAGAAAAGTTGAAAGAACAGTAAAATAAGGGGAGGCAGAGCATTAGGACAAATACCTAATGCATGCGAGGCTTAAAACCTAAATGACAGATTGATATGTGCAGCAAACCACCATGGCACATGTTTACCTATGTAACAAACATGCACGGTCTGCACATGTATCCCAGAACTTAAAGTAAAATTTTTTAAAAAGAATAGTAAAATAAATATTCATTTACTCTCCACCTAGAGTTGACATTGCTAATATTTTGCCCTGTTTGCTTCTCTCTCTCTCTGAAAATAAATAGACATTTGGTAGACATTGTTTGTTTGTTTTTGGCTGATTCATCTGACACTGAGTTTCAGACATTGTAACTCTTCAGCCCTAAACACGCTGCCTACATCTCTGGAGCATAGACAGTCCCCTACATTATCATTATTACACCAAACAAAATTAGTAATTGTTTATAATGCCACTTAATAGCAAGTTCATATTTGAGTTTCCACCTTTTTTTCAACACTATCTCTTATAATCGCCTTTATATTTTTAACCTGAACCCAATCACATTTCAAGCATTATACTTCATTATGATGACTCTTTTAACAGAACAGTCCACTCTTCTTTTCTTGATATTAACAGTTGGAAATATCGAGTGAGTTATCTTGTGGAATGTCCCAGGTTATGGATCATATTGCCATTTACTCTTGAACAACACGGGCTTGAACTGCATGGGTTCACTTACACTTGGATTTTCTTCTGCCTCTGCCACCCCTGAGGCAGCAAGTACAACCTCTCCTTCTTCCTTCTTCTCCTTGGCCTACTCAATGTGAAAACAATGAGGATGAAGACCTTCATGATTATCCACTTCCACTTAATGAATAGTGAACATATTTTATCTTCCTTATGATTTTCTTAATACTAGTTTCTTTTCTCTAGCTTACTTGACTGTAAGAACACAGTATATAGTACATATATATATATGGCATACAAAAGTACATGTTAGTCAACTGTTACCAGCAAAGCTTCTGGTCAACAGTAGGCTACTGGTAGTTAAGCTTTGGAGGAGTCAGAAGTTACACATGGGTTTTCAACTGCACGGGGGATTGGCACTTCTAACTCCTGCATTGTTTAAAGGTCTATGGTACTCAATGAGGCAATTTTAAAAATCAACAAGTAGTAACTAAGTGGAAGATTATCTACAAATGGAGAAAGTGAGTGATTTGGGCATAGTACAAAGATGAGACATAAAGTCTCTCATAAGTGTTCTCAAATATATCTTTCAAATAAAGTAAGATGGAACTACAAGAAGCCATCTATTAAAGAAATGAATAAATTAAAGAAATGAGATTATCCTCTGAGAATTATACAAAACAGATCAAAACTGATAGATACAGTCATCTGACACAGATAGAATGTGTCTGAAAGCATAGCAAAAAAAAGACTAAAAGAGCCAGTCAAAGCAGCGTTAGTCAGCCATGAAAAGCATATAAAGAGGAGCATGAGGACGGTGAACATTAGTAGAGCCCATGGAAGAAATGCCCACTGGAGACAGTGCCTCAGCCAATGGCTTTGAATAATCCAATGCATTAGGAAAGGCCGTTCCTACAGTAAATGTGGCAGTATTGGCTCTCCCAGCTTAATGCCATTAAACGTTTGAATCATCTAACCAGCTCGCTGGTTTGGATTCCATGCTCACTAAGCAACCTCTGATAACGCTCTCGCAAGCTGTGGAGACAAGTGTTCCAGACACAGTAGTGGTTTTATTCCTCTTGTGAATCAATAAATTGACATGCTGGCTTCATGCATCAGCTCTCTGAGCTTAATTAATTAGAGCTGAAGCTGAGAGACGGATCCACATTCAGTGTGCTGACAGATCCAGTTTCTAAGCCTGCAGGGCATTAGAACCTGGACGGAGGCAGTGCCACCCTGTGAGGTCTCTCAGGAGACAGCAAATGCTCATACTTTCATATCCCCACATTGCCTTTGGCAATTAGATTCCTCTAAGCTTTGTGTCTGTCTACTGATTCTGAGGGCATTGATTTATAGGTAATGAACCAGATGTGGACTGACAAATTCTAATCCCTTTTACAGAGAGGACACTAGAGTGAAATAGGAACAAATGTGACCCTTCTCATGGATCAGCTAAAGCAACCTTTAGTGTAGTTTGTATC